TTTTTTTTTTTTTTTTTTTTTTTTTTTTTTTTTTAATTTAAATTGAATCGAACCAAATTATTTTATAAAAATAAATTGATTAATCGATTATTTTTTATAAAGTAGATCAGTTTAATTCTTTTAAAATATAGATCGATTTTTTTTTAAAATTGGATCAGTTTAGTGTGGTGTAATTATTCATTTTCTACTCATATATAAATCAGTTTTTTTAAAAAATTAAATCGAATTGAATCGATCCACACCGGATCGATTCAGATTTTTTTAATAAATAAATCGAGCTTTTTAATATAAATCAGAAGATCGGTTCAGATAAATTTAAATTTTTTTTATATTTTAAAAAGAAATATAACCAAAACAAAATGACATAATAATGATAATAGAAAGTAGCCTGCTTATTATATAATCCACAATCGAGCATTTGTACTTCAATTTTTTTACATCTCCCGTACATTTAATTATTCTTTGAAAAAACAAAGTAAGAGAGAAAAAGAAAGTTAATTTTGGTAAAAAGACGATAAATATATAAATGATTGCAAGTCTTTTCTTTGAACAGAAATTTTGATCAAAGTCTTGACAAGAAAACAATAGGCCTTAAAAGAATTTTATTTTCTTCAAAAGTTTCGTCATGTTTGACGTATTGGTTAAATTTATTCTTAAAAAATACTCCTTGTGTTTTTTTATTAAGAAAAACTAATTTTACGTATGTTAACAAAATTAATTATCTATATTAAATTTACTAATTTTATAATATTCTTTGTAATATATATATTAAAAGAAGTAATAAAACTGAAATGTTATATATTAAAAAAAAAAGGATAAAACAAAATATCAATGAGAGAACAGTAATAGAAATTTATTTATATTTAATAATAAAATTTGTCTTTTTGATTTATAATAGAAACTAGAAAGAATACAGAAATAATATTAAGCATGTATAATTAAGAAAAAAATAGATGTCGCACTACTAAAATTTCTCTTATTATATGTGATTTTTTCATAAAAAAACTAGATTATAAGTCTAACACTCAACCATACAAATCAACTTGTAAGGTAAGTGTTACCTCAACTTATATACTCTTTAATTGTTTTATTTTCAATCGATGTGGGACCTGAAGTTTTTTTAAAATATTAAACTTATAAATTTAAATATTTTTGGATTTTTCCTATGGATTAAAATTGGCAGGAAAATTGGCAGGAAAAGTTACCTGCAAATTTTTTCTACCATTTAGTAAACATTACTTGCGAATTTATTTTTGCAAGAAAATTTACAAGAAACAAATTAAAATTCTTACAATATTTTCTGCAAGTATTTACCATGAAATTTTTTTTATGATCATTAAAATTGTAGCAAAAAATTTTCAAAAATTTCTTGTAGATTATTTTTCATAAAAAAATTTGTAATAAATATCTGTAAATTATTTTTTGTAAATAAACTCATAAATTTATTTTATGAAATTATTATTAAAAAAAAATTTACAAAACATTTCTGCGAATATTTTTTTTAAGAAAATTTTTAAAAAAATGACACTTTTCTAATAATGGTCCTTTTACACATAAATGTCATACACTTATACTCATTGCTAAATTCTTCACAATTAACCCTCATGTTAGAGAAATAAACAATGATAAATGTCCATCTCAACAATATAATAGCTAGATTGAAAATATTATATATTACTTCAAGAGTTATGTAGTCTTGAGCAATTTTTATGTGATACGTTCTTAATTTATAAACTGGAAATTGCAATTACATAATACTGATCAAGACTATATAGTTTAGTTTCGGACATGTAGTAATTTCTGGTATATTGAAGTGGAATGAATTAGAGAAATGAAAATTAAACCAAAAAAAAGAAAGAAAAATTATAGACATAATAAGTGATGTGGTTGAAAAATAAAAGAAAATAGAGAGGAGATGTAGGTAGAATTAAAATGAAAAAAAAAAACTTAATTGAACTTTAAGTTTAATAGTAATACAATGATAGTGTAAAATAGTTTTACACAATATACAAATCATAATTTATCATAAATAATAAATTTATTGATTTTTAAAAAATTATCTTTAAAAGTTATAGAAATCATGATTTTTGCTTGGTTTACATTGACATTACCATTAACAATATATTTGGATTGCTATTTGGAATGATGTAAATGAAAATTCTCTCATTTCAAATAAAAAAAATTAGAAGCAATAATTTGATACTTTCAAGTTCAAAAGCCTTTTAAAGGTTTCTCACGATAAATCAAACACACTATATATTGATTAAAACTTGTTACATTGATATTACCATTAAACCTATTGCACTTTTTCCTCACCCAAGTTTTATAAATTTTTGAATTTTGTCATAACTTTTGAGATTATAAATTTTTTCATCCAATTTTTAAACGTTGATATATTTTATCTGTTAATTGATTATTTATTACACCATTAATTAATTATTTATATGTCATGTTTACCGTTGATATATATAACACATGTGTTACGACAACAATCCAGGATGTCATGTAAATAACAATGGTAGATAATCAAATAATTGTGACAAAATATACAAAATTTTAAAAATAGAGTGGCCAAAAATTATACAATTTTCAAAATTAGATAATGAAATTGGCAAAATTATAAAACATGAATAAAAAAAATGCAAAACAAAAAGAAAATGTAAGATAAATATTTTCGGTAGCTATTAGTTAGGTAATAGGCTAATAGTTAGACAATACCAATAATATATGACTAATCAATTACACGGCACACACAATCCAAGGCAAAATACTCTTCAATGGTCAAATTCAAAGTTCAAACCACTCTTTTGTTCATAATTTCTCGGAGATCCAAAACCAAGTCCATCGTTGTTTGCATCAACAAGCAAAATAAACAATTTCATGTGGCAACCACATGCACAAATCCTATTATATATATTTATATCACATTCACGTATATCTCCACAAACTCCCATATACGTAAAATAAAAAACAGAAGAAAAAAAAAAAAAGAACTAAGCAAAAGTTGCAGAAGCTAAACTATTCACATTTTCTTGGAGCAACATCATCACATCTCTTTATCACGGACGGTTCCATGGCATGACATTCTCTACAAGCCATCACAAACCACCGTAAAATCCTTCTTCCAAACCTCAACCTCATTCCCTTATTCACCATCTCTTTCTTACTCTTCTTCTTATTCTTGTTCTCCTTGTTATTGTTATTTTTATTATTGATATGGCTCCTTTTGGTGCCTTCTTCCTTCTTCTTCTTCACTTGCTTTATGTCCCTTCTTCTTTTAACCGAACCCTCACGGTTCAACGCCGGCACCGGTGTTATATACTGCCACCTCTGAGAGCATCCATATGCTTGATAATGTGATGGTGTCATTGATGACCTAAGTGCACCATTCTTGACCTTGTTGTGGAACAATTTTCGCTCTGAGCTATCGCTAGAGCTTGTTCTAGCGCTGCTGCTACTGCTGTTACTACTGTTGCTCCGCGAGGAGAACAACGAGTCCTTCGCGCTGCCGGTGCGGCTGGCGGGGACGGGGAAGGAGTGGGGCTGGAGGTGGCCGTTTAGGAAGAGGTGGTCGGCCGGGGAGGCCGTCCAGGGCTCGGCAGAAGTCGAGTCCGGCGTCAAGGCGCCGAACTCGAAGTCTGCCGAGTCCGGAGTGGGAGTGCTTGGGAAGGAGAAGGAATCGCCGGAGGAGGGCTTATTCTTGCGGTGTGTATTGTCCATGTGGGGGGAGATAGGGTAGGTTATGGTGAGATGTGATATGTGAGAAGTGAGAAGTGAGAAGTTTGTGGCTTATATATGTGTGTGAGTGTATATATGATGGTGATTGGAAGGTTGGTTTATGGGGTTTGGATGTGGGACATGTGGAGTGGATCAAGGTCTTTGTTGGTTTGAAATTGAGGGGGTTGGCTATGGAGGTGGTGTAAATAATGTGAACCATGGGATGCCAACTAAGACATAAGTTTGAGGAATAATATTGCATGGTGGTGGTGTAATGATGTTGTAGCTAGCTAGCATATGTGAGATGTGTCACAAACAAGTTAGTCTGTTGTGTGTGTCATGTGATGATAAACTGTGGGGATGTTACCTACATAATTATCTTGTTTCAATTATAAAAATGTTACTAAAATTAGAGTGTGCATAAGTTGAGGGCAGAAAGAAATAAACAAAATAAAGAAAAAAAAAATAAAAATTACAATAAGTGATGTAATAAAAAAGAAGATAAAAAAACAATCTGAGTCTTAATTATAAAATTCTTTCTAAATTGTCTTTGTTTTAAATGTAAAAAAAAAATAGTGTAATTGAAAAGTCATGTATTGAATGAGGGATATTTTAAAGAAAATATCACTAAATTAATTATATAAAAGTTGTTAAATTTATTTATATTTAAGAAAAAATATTTTTTTCCCTTATACAGGAGTACTCTTTCAATTAATCATAATGGATGAGAATAATTGGGTGTGTTAAGTTTGGAGGCCCTCCTTTTAAAGAAAGTAAAAGGAGTTTACTATACTCAAATATGCTATAAAGAAATGTGTCAAACGATGTGGTTTTCTATATAAATTATAGTCTTTGGTTGCGTATTATTTAATATATATTGAAAGATGTTGGGGTTGATGAGTGATTTGGATCAAGTGAGTGGTTTTGGAAAGTGAAAATATTCTTAATCATATTGTCTCTCGGCTACAATACATATAAAGAGAGGATCTATTGACATCACATATAAGTTTAGTAAATTTAATATTTTTAATAATTTTTTATATACATCATAGGTTTTATTAATTTAATAATAATTGAATCGAAAGTTCTTATAAATTAAATTATAAAAGTTTATTAATTGAAAATTCAATGATATTTTTGTCACATTATTTTATATTAACATATAAAATATTTTAAATGTAACTAATTTATTATTACTAAATTATATTTATAGATATTTAAGCTATCTAAAATTTGACGACAATTATTAAAAATAATAAAGTCACAAAATTTAACAATTAAATTGATAAATTATTACAAAATGTAAGTTTGCCCAAAAATTCCACTTTGTGATAGGATATGGCATCTCTCCCTATAGACATTGAAGGTATTGATTTTTCAATAATGATTTGCTTATCCCAATTAGTACGGTAGTGAATTAGATATTAACCTTTGTCAACTTGCTTTTTGTTATTCTAAAGGACACAGAGTCCCAAATATGCCCTTTAATTAAAATCCTACATAGATAAAGCAGAAAAACAAAAGGAAAATAAAGTAGGAAGCTGGGGAAGCAATAGTACTAGTCTATGGTCTTCTTCCAAAACACCAAGGAATGGTGGGATCACTATTGTAGGTTTCTTAAGTAGGGCAAAGCAAAGCCAAAGCCAAACCAAAGGCTCCCCTATGGTCTAAAACAAAAGAAAGAAAAAATGGATGAAACATTAGGAGGCGTGTGATTTTAATGATCAAAGACCTACTTTTGATTACTCCTACACAAACAAGGGGACAAAGTGGCTCTCATAAAAATTTCTTGGTCTCCTATTTAAGTTTCTGTGGCCCATTTCAGCTCATTATGCCTTTGGGACCATTGGTCAGCCAGATTCAGTCTTCAGTGTTTATAATTTTTTGCCATGACCAAAGCAAATTATTTGTCAATCTTCCTTAGAAAGCATACTTTTATATGACGCCAACACAAAGTGGCAGGTCCATGGATTTGAAGACAAAGCTGTTGAAGGCTTCATTATGACTCCATATTTTATAATCTGTTTTGACTACCAAATATCATGTTGAATGGCATTAGAAATGCTTATACAACAGATTAATTAAGAGAGTTGAGTCTTCCCTTCACATTAGTTTTGGCTCTCAAACTTCTCTTATTGTAGATGATGATAAGTAAATTCAATTATAAATTTTAGCTAAAGTTGGTGGTCTTCTCCAACCTTATAATAAAGAAATGGTTCTTCTCTTAATATAAATTTTTATTTTTATTATTAAAATTTTATATGCATGTTTAAAGACTCTCAACGTACTATTATTAACTGTGCGGAACTTTTTTGATATAAAATTTACACAATATAACAAGTTAACAACTAAGCATATATATAATGTAAGGTATATAAAATAACTTTTTTTCTTAAATAGAATATAAAGTTACAATATAATTAATGCATCGATATTTGAACCATGAGTTTACATTACGCTATCTCATGCTTAAAATTTAAGAGAACTTACGTACAACTAATTTAATAAATTAATATTCAATTTTTTAATGTTGAAAATTAATATTCAGTTAATGAACCCAATTTCACGTAGATGTAGAACAAGGTTTATTACATGATTTTTTTAGGAGGCTTTTCAGGGTATCTATAGCTTTTCGGAATTAGCTTGAGTAAATTCCCATTACAAGTGGCGCGTTCATTTGGACCTTTAATTTAATTATTTTCTTTCAACAACATTAATTTTCAATACGCTCAATTCTTTGAGTATGTTAAAAATGTTTAAGAGATTAACGTGTTAAATGTATATAAGTTCTTCTTTTATAAATACTAAATACACATACGTATATTATAAATTTTAACTACAAAGAAATCTTTCTTAAATACTCACAAATATTTAGAGCTTATAAAGTTTACAACCCTCAAGAAATTTAGTAATTAAAAAATATACACATGTAATTAAAGTAGAATATGATTTTGTAAATTTTACATATGATAGATGGATTTTCTGCTAAGTCAAAGGAAGAACCGTCCTGTCCAATTAGCACAACAAATGTTTTACACAACCAAATTTTTTAATTGATTTTCAGAAGCACATTAGAGAGAGTAAGAATATATTCAATATTCAAAACTGTTCTTACCGGAGATCGGTCGTAGGGGATGATCTGCTGGGTAAGATCGGCGAGCCTCCTTCACTGGGTACGCTTGTTGCTCCAAGATGGGGGTGGTACCTGCAAAAGAGACTCCGATGCTAAAGTTAGTGTTTGTGGGTGTATGAATCTCGTATAAGTAATGCACATACCTTTGTGTGAATTTAGGGTTTTGTTGGGCCTTGGGCCTGAAATCAGTTTATGACCTATTTGGATGTCGAGTTGACGTGGCCTAGCGCGTGTCCGAGGTCACGCCACGCTGAGATGCCGAGCTCGAGCTCAACATAGCGGTATGGATATATAGTACACTAGCCCCCCGAGCTCCGAAGACCGTGGGTCAAGGAGTTAATGCCGAGCTCGGTAGGGGGCCGTACGCTTTTCTCCTATGTTGCCATGTGTCACAACTGTCGCTTCGGATTCTGAAACGCGTGGGCAGCGTGTTAATGGGGATGACGGTTACGCAATGATGGTAGTGCTTCATCATGACGGGGCCTCATTAATATGCCGTCAATCTTGTCCCCTTTGCTGACACGTGTAATTGCCGTTTTGAATTTGGAAAATCCCTTTTTCTCTCTCTCGCGCCCTTTCCCATTCACTTTACTCATTTTTCGTTCTTTAGCTTCTTGCGCACGCCGATTTCATTCTCCTCTGTTCACTCTCCGTCTCCGCTTTCCCTGTCTCCGTTCTCCTCCGTCGCCATTTCCGGCAACTGAGTTCTCCTCCTTCCTTATTGTTCTTTAATTTGTCAAAGGAGTACCAGGTACTTCGATTTCCCTATCCTCTCCTTCTTCTCAAATCATTTTGTTTTCTTGATGGCTGGTAACAGTGGTGCCACTCCTTCTGCGCTGGCCAAGGGTAAGGGCAAGGCGCGTGGCAAGGCAGTGGCCGCCGAGACGGCCGCCGCCGAAAAGAAGGAAAACCAGCCTAGGGAACCCTTCCCTGTCATCCCTGGCTACGACTGGGTCAGGGGTGACGCCGGGGAATTCCAAAATGTCTTCAAATCGTTCATGGAGATTAATGCGATGCGAAAATCGCATAGGATCTGTGAACCTTCCGTTTCCAGGCTTATCGGACTAGAACCTTGTCAGCCCGGTGAACGCGTCTATATGAGGGGTACCTCTAACCCTCCTTTCTTCTATATGTACCAGTGATTTTTTAGGGATTTGGGCGTGTGCCTACCCTTTTCTCAATTTGAATGTGATTTCTTAAATTTTGTCAACTCGGCCGCGTACCAGTTGCACCCCAACAGTTGGGGTTTTTTGAGGGCTTTCCAAGTCCTATGTTCGACCTTAGGGATAGGGTTGTCTCTGCCCGTTTTTCTCCATTTTTATCAGTTAAAGTTGGGCGTCCCTCCCTATGGTTGGGCGTCTCTGAGTGGTAGTAAGGCTAGGGGATTGTTTTCTCTTTACTCCCAGTCTTACAAAAATTTCAAACAAGAATTCATTCGGGTTGCGCTTCAGGATGTCGACCCGTTGAAAGACGAGGTATTCCACTTTGGCGGGTTGCCGAAGATTCCATTTTACTGGCGGCAGGCCCCAGCCAGGTTTAACGGGTTGGCCAATGTGCAATTGACGGCCTCAGACACCGCTGCCATTGCAGACCTAGAAGCGCTTCCTCGTCCGTTAGATTACAAGCTCGTTTTTTTCGCTTGTGAACTCGGTGTACAAGGAGAGAGGTCTAGAGAGTGAGTATCTCGTCCTCCTTGGTTGCCAAGGTTCGGGAATTCTTTCTTTTACTGACATATCTAATTCTTGTATTTGAAGGCATAATGGGCAAAAGCAAGTGGCGCAAGTTGAAGTCGCGCTACAGCGTTGCCGAGATTGAGGTCCCTGAACCTGAGGAGATTGTATTCTTTGGTTCAGGTGTATAGTGTTTTTATTTTGGTTGCATGATAATTCTTTTGAGGTAGCATCTTAAAATGGTTTGATTCAAATTGATAGTGTAGGTAGAAAC